ACACATAACCTGTACTCTAAATATCACAGGTTCACAGATGAAAAGGAAATTTGTCCCAGGATGGAATACCCCTAAAGTCTCACCTATATTTGATTTAGATGATTCAGAAGATGAGATTTTATACTTAAGACTTCTGGGATGATGTTATAGAGTAAATGTGTTCTTCATATGGCAAGGACATGAATTGGTGGGGGCAAAGATTGGACTGTTATGGATTGAATTATGTTCCCCAAAAATATGTGTTATAAATTCTAACCTCTGTGCTTGTAATTATAATCCATTTGCGAATGGGTTGTCTTTGTTATGTTAGTGAGACAGGTTTGTGTAAAATATGTCTTAAGTCAGTATCTTTTGAAATATAAAAGATAGGGTGGGAAAATGGCATCGTACCTGTAATCCACACATTTGTTCCCTCTAGTATCTTTATTTCTGAAAAACTAGATGTAGCAGATAGAAGCAGGGATTCTGGAGTTGTGAACAACTGAGTAGGAGAAAGGGTGGCAGATTTAGTGGAGGCAGAGAAAAAGAACAGATTAAAGAGGTAAGGGGAAAAAATGAGCCAGCCTGGCTGGTGGGAGATGGACAGGCAGAGAAGTGGGAAACTCATTAGCAATACAGGGGAGAGGCACAGTGAGAAGGAGGGAAAAAACTGGGGGGAACAGGGGTGGACAACAGAACCCACGAAGGATTCAGGGACTCAAGAATATCCACACCGGGACTGTTCTAGTTACCTAGTGCCACTCTGATGAGAAATATACCACAAATGGGATGGCCTTAACAAACAGTTTATTCTTACAATTTGGAGGCTTTAAGTTCAAGTTCAAAGTGTCAGACTCTAGGGGCTGGGTGAAAGCCACTCAACCTTGGGGTCCAGCTCTGCCTCCTGCTCCTGGCCCACTGGAGCTAGAGGCATTTCTTCATTCAGACAGCTGCTGGTGCTGAGGCTAAGAAGCCCCAAGGTTGACAGGTAAAAAGGCACAGTCCTGATGTTACCAAACCACACGGCAGGCCACTAACTTAAGTCCATTGTGAGTCCCAAGGTTGGCAGAGCATAGCAGGCTGCTGAGCAATGACACAGCTACATGCAGGGTCCAAGCATGCCATAGGCTAGAGACCATTCCCAAGGCTTCTCCTTATATACAGTAAGCAGACTACATCCCAAAGGTAGCTACTCAGCTGCTTGTGGTAGATCCCACCATGGAGTTGATTGCCAGTCTCATCATGGGGAATAACTACCACCACTTGCCCAGCCACTCAACCAGGCCCAGCCAAGTTGACACACAAACATAACCATCACAGGGAGCTTCTGATGCTAACCCTGGGGGTTGAGCTGAGTAAATGAACAACCTGGCTGAGAAACAGAGCAGAAACTCCCTTGGCTCACGCTGCCACGGAGTTCAGACTAGAGAGGAGGAAGGGAGGAAACTTGCTCTGAGTAGGCAGGTCCTGGAACGAATGCAGGGCAGAGGGCTGGGATTCAATTCTTCCCTGACCACTTTTTAGCACAGAGTAGACCAGGGTACAGGATTTTTATGGCTTTCTGACCCAAGTGGAAAGTAGTAGTCCCCTAACCATCGGGGTCTCTGTCAATTTGAAACACAGGTCTGTCATTTACAACAAAATGTCATCATTTGAAGCCATACCAAGCAGACTTAAAACAAACTCTTGGAGCCAACAGCATGTGCAGAAACACAGAAAACAGGGACTTGCTCCTGGCATCTTTTTTTTTTTTCCTTTTTCTTTTCTTTATCTTTTTTCCCCTTCTCCTTTGCCCCAGTCAGTAGAAGCACATTAAGCCAGCACAACAACTACTCATCCCAACTCCAAATCCCCTTCCCAATGAACAGATATCTGCAACCATATTCCCAACAGTGATTCCATCAACACAGAGAAAACTGGAGAGCAGCCCAACACATCCTAATTAACAACCAAAAAAAGTACACCTATTCCACACTTGCAAATATATTTAAACATAAAATCTGTGTGAAACAAATCAATATGTAACTAACAGTTAAAGACAACAACTTCAAAATGTCTAGGAAAAAGCAGACATCCTCAAATCAAAAAAAGAAAAAGAAAAACAAGACAAGACAATAGAAATAAAACCCCAGACTAAAGATTTATCTATCATGGAAGAACAGGCAATAGGATTATCTGAGAAGGAATTTAGAAGATATGTATATAGAGCTCTACAAGAGCTCAAGGAAACCACAAACAGACTCAAGGAGAACACAAATAG